CTGGGGGGCGGGGCCAAGGCACTGCAGCGCGGGGGGTACCTGCCCGGACGGGTGCTCCGCCCCTGCTTCCGCTTCCGGTGGCGCAGTCGCTTTTGCCCGGTCGCCAAGGCGACGGCAGGGCTGGTGGCAGGCGGTGGGCCAGGCCCGGCCCGGCCCTGTCGTGGATGTCGCCTTTCCGGGGCTGGGCGTGCATAGATGTGCCTCCCTCTCTTTCCCCTCGATCCCCGGGAAGACGGGGCGTCGCGCCGTGCGGGGACAGGGTGCGGGACAGGCGCGTTGGGAGGCCGTGTACTGGGCAGGGTGGTTGCCAAGAGGCGGGTACTCCCTGAGAGCTGCTGGCGTAGCCCTGCAGTGTGTGTACTTGCAGGAGCGAGAGGGGGTCTGAGTTGGCTCTGCTTGGCTGGGGGAGATGCCTGAGAAATCCAGCCTGGCAGGCCTGTGTATTATACGGCCCTCCATGTGGTCTATCCCATTCTCCAAGCTAGCTCATCGTTGACACGATGTGGCGGGTACCCCGTCATGTGAAATGGTAGCCTGAAGTGATTGCGAAAGACGTGACTGTATCCCCTGGATTCGCAGTTGGTTGCTGTGTTTTCACAGCTGATTTTGGCAAGCTTTGTAGCCTCCCCAAAGGCACAAGTGCAGGTGTCATTCTTTCGAGGTGTATGCCTCACTAACTGCAAAAAGCTGATTTTGTGACCCACATCATGATGCCATTTGCTGTGTAGTTAACTGATAGAAGCTCTGGCGCTGGACCATATTCCTAAGCCATGCAGGCAGCAGCAAATGCATCAGAGCTTCTGAAACCGTGAAGTAACAACATGGCTGCGTCTTGTAGTTGTTCATAGCAACAAAGGCAACGTATTTTCTCAGAATCAAAGAGCGTTCTCTTTGGAAACTGGCATTCCCTCTTCAGATAAAAAGCAGTTTTGTTTGAACTTGGCCTAAATAAATGAATAAGTCAAAATATTTGGTTTCTGATTCTTAACTCTAAAGCAGATTTAATTCAATCAATGTAATAGAATATCCGTGATTAGAAATAACACTGCAATGGCTTAAGTTCAAAATGATGCTTTGACAGGCAGAATGAGGCAAAGGAAGTCTTGTGACTGGAGAAGGAGTCTCGTTAGGCTTCCAAAATAGAACAAAAACTGGCATGTGGGTGAATTGTGAATCATACTTTTTTTTTTCTTTTTAGCTCCTCTCAGTTTAACAGCAAGTAACATCACTTCTCACAATTTTCATATTTTCTAACACCTGGTTAAAATACCTTTTTACCACTTACATTTACATTGCTGTTATTTCTCATTGTTTCACCTCATTCTATCCAAATATTTCTGTCCTTTTCAAAGGTGTGACTGTCATAAAACTGTTATGCAGGAACACTCTCCAGGAGGCATTTTTCTTTTGTGATTGCCACAGAAATAGATAACAAGAAATCTAGTCAATTCTTGTGTAACTTTGGACATGCCTCTTCAGTTTCTCTGTTCCTGTTTTGCCATTTATAAGATTTACTTTTATCCCAGTGTTTGTCTTTTTCATTTGCTTGGGTAAAAAGAGCATGATGTCTGTGCCATAGATGTGATTTAGTCAGTCTGTTAAATAGACCAAATTCAATTTTTTGAAATAGTTCTTGCGTTTCATTTAGGACCTCGAAGTGTTGTCATGGTAATTAAATACTGCCTCCTACTTTTTGCATGTAGACTAAACATGTTCAGAGCTGTTATCAGCAGATAGTAATGCACTAAAACACAGTCTCTAGCCCCCCCCCCCAAATTTGTGGACTCTTCAAAATAAAAAAAGGCATTCTTGCCAGTATTCAAAAGCTTTGTGCAGCTGTGTAGGGGGAATGGTAGCTTTACAGTGATTAAAAAATGCCAGTCCTTGGTTTTCTGGGGGAACCTCAATGGAAAAGCCTGTAAAGACATACCAGCCGTAGCATAGGTAACAGGCGTTTAGTGTAAGTATGTGGCAATTGTTGAAAGACTTTGGAAAAATCTGAGTGTTAAAAATAATCATCAGAGTAATTGCCCTTATCTCTGCTCCTGGCCTGAGGAAATTAGTTGCATTTTTGACAGGGATGCAGTAATAGCAGCAGCGATAGATGTCTGGCTTTCATTAGTTTAACTGTGCTTTCTTTGGCCAGTCACACAAAGGAGAAGAAAAGTTAAAAGGTTCTTGCTTATTCATGATTGAACTTGCTTTTATATTTATTCAGATTAGTTTTGGAGGAAGAAACTGGAATGCATTGAAATGGGAATTGCTGAATCTTAATTCAGTAATACAGAAGTTGAACTTCAAGCATATGCCTAAGTGCATTTTTTGAATTGTTCTTTATGTATTTCATTCTGAAGCTGATTGTAATCTTCTGTAAGGTATGGTTGGTTACATCACAAGTTGCTAAAGTGCAAATCAGACTGCCCAGATTTAGTAAGAATCTATATTTTTTTCTGTAACAGATTTAAGTCTGCTTTTCTCCCCTCAGCCAAGAAGGACGAGCTTTATCTATATTTTCATTTCATTGCTAGACTCAGAATGACAGGTTAGAGTTTTTGAAGTACTATTTCATACTGAGAGAGACAGCAGCAGAGAGAAGGCCCTAAAATGACAAAAACACATTTAGTACTTGGGCTGAGTAGGTTGTATCCAGAGCTTCCACTCTGGGAGGTGTGGGGAAGACAAAATGAAGATAAGAAAACATTCCAGAAATCATGAACTGTGATAATATTTACTTTTCTCACCATGTGTACAATCCTAATGTTAGGCACCCATATTTAAACACCTCAGGATTTTCCAAGGTACGAAACGAGCTATAGCTTCTGTTCCGTATAAATGAGAGAAATACTTTTAAAATAGCAGCACATAAAATTCAGACCATTTGGATACATTCCTAAGTATGAGTTTTGGGATGAAGTTTTCAAACAAGCTCAGTACTGGTCTGACTGCTCAATTAAGAGGCAGTCCAAACCTGGCTTTGCTGTTAACAAAAGGGAGAAGTGTCATCATGCAGACTAAAAATTAAGAATTGTGCTAGCAAGGCATTGTTACAGTTTGTGGGTTTGCCTCCCTCTTCTTATAGTCAAACTCTGCTTATTATCATTGTACTAACTTTTCACACCTACCAATAAACCTGCACCTATAAATACTCAGCATTTTAAAAAAATCTTATCCTGTGTGCTTTGCCTCAATATTCCTGGTTGGTTTCTATGTTTGTTTGTTTGTTTTTAAATCTGTTTAAACACAGAATCACACCTATTCCCTCCATAATGTGCCTAGTGAACAAACGGTCAGCTTTCGTCATACATGTGTATCAGTGCAGGATTGGGAGTGATTCTGCTGACTTCAGAATACTAACAAAAGTATAATGCAAGAAGGCATTCCAGCAAACGCGTGGCAAATAGATTGTTAGCCTGTCTCTATGAGCAATGTGGAGATAAAGCCCACTGACCCACTCAGAGCCCCGTGGCCTCACTATCTTGCATATCATATATTCCACCTGAAACTGATCGCCTTCCTGTGAAGTTCAACCATGCCATTGCATGTGCTTATTGCTGAGCATATATAGCATGGATGTTTTTGTCAAGT